GCCTGCCTCTCCTCACTCCTCTGCAAGGAATAATTAGGGCCCCTCCTTCAGCAAGTTTCTATTTCTTACCACTAAATTGGTTTCCTTTTTCAGCTGAAAGTTAGAACTCCCCAGGTATATATACAGTATAGAAGCCAAATCTCAGAATTCTGAGATTGTAGAACATCTTAACCACAAGAGGGAAAATTGAGTTGTATCCCAACCCTGAAAACGGGCCGTCTGTCCTTTCCTCTGCTCTGAGTCAGCTCTAGCAAGCAAGGCTCCGTGGCTGCTTCCTAATGCACTGACAGGAGCCATCCCATTAAGGACGACCTCTACTCCAAACATGACTTTCTGGACTTCAGATGCCTCTTTTAACTGGAAAGGCATTGATTGGATTGGATGTATTTATATGACTGCGGGCATTCGTGGCTGTAGAATCCTTGACCATAATGTTATATGTAATGGGAACTATCTTATAAACTTGAAAAAAATAAAGTTTTTATTTTCTATACAGTTTTCTCCTGTGTCTTTTCTAAATAGGATCGGCTCAGTTGGTCAGCCATGCGGCTCCTCATCAGGACTTCATAAGTATTCTGAAGGGGTGATTAGAAAGATGTCACCCTTTCAATAAGTGGGTCACTAATTTCACCAAGAAAGTAAGACTAACCACTTGGTATAAATAAGCATACATGGGGAAAGTAAAATAAATATTTTTAAGCAATTTGCAAGGGAGCATTTATTTCTGAAATGTTTCTAAATGGCATTGCTTTTTAAGGTTTAGAACTGGAATGATAAGAAATTTCATTTGCTGTCAAATGTGCTGAACTTTAATTATTAATGAGAAAAATCAATACTTGCTGTGTTGAGCTTAACAAAAGCAATAAAACTGACAAACTGATATCAACCTCCTGTGATTTGGCCTGATTTCATGTCACATCAGCTACTTTTTGTATTTCATTTCTTCAGATTCAAAAAGGCTTTTTGCCTTTTATTCAATGAAGGAAATTAGAATTAGGTTCTATTTCCAAGTACCATACATATCAGACTATAAATTGTGTTTTTCCCCAAAATCAATTGCCCAGAAAATAGGAAGCTGCCTTTATTCTATTTATTAAATATTTTCATTATTAAATGCCGATTTTGAACCGTTTAAAAGAATGGTTGAAGAAAACCTGATAGTTGTTTACATCCCTTTTCAGTTGTAAGTGTACATTAGAGTGCTGGTCGATTTCTAAGCCCATAGAGTAAATGAACATATCCATCTCACCCTAATATAATTAATAAAGCATGCACATTTCTCTTACAAGTGTTTAATGGCAGGTAAAAATCAGCAATTCAGGAGGTTTTTTTAATCTTCAAAAACAAGTTTCTCTACATATGAAAAATCCTTGATGGCAATCTTAAGTATCTATTTGCAAGTAATGTCACACTCATCTTTTTAAAATTCTTCCCTGCCCCACTCCTGGACTGAGCCACATCCCCAGCCCTTTTATTTTGAGACAAGGTATCAGTAAGTTGCTTAGAGCCTTGCTGAATCACTGAGGCTGGCCTTGAACCTGCTCTTCCTGTGCTATTAGAATTACAGTGCACCACCACTCCAGGCTTAAAATTCTTGATGCTGTAAACTTTAAAAATATATAAAAATGGGGCTGGGGTGTAGTTGCGATAGAGCCCTTGTCTAGTCTGCACCACATTCTGAGTTAGATGTCCAGCACCACAAAAAAAAAAAAAAAATACCCTCTCTCACAAAAATGAATCAACTGCCAAATTCCATAGCTTTTTAGGTAGTATGCTATAATACATTGAATTTACCATCATTTGACAGTTTCATCTAAGCAGTATAAATGAGGTTTAGTGCCAACACTCGCCTTGGAATAGGCCTTAGGGATTTCACCAAAATAGTAAAATACTACTTTACTTTTCTGCCACACTACTGTTATATGAAAAGACAAGGCTCAGGGGAGTAGCCATATTTCCCAATAGAAGACCTAGTGTTTTAGGCAACTCCTCATCCCGCCTCAAAGTCCAAAAAGATGTGCTTCTAACTATTTTGGGGTAAGCTCTTCATTTATACTGCTTAGATGAAACTGTCAAATGATGGTAAATTCAATGTATTATAGCATACTACCTAAAAAGCTATGGAATTTGACCCTGAATGAATGAAGGAAAATGACAGTGACTTAATGTATTCAATTAAAAGATGATTATATCCTTTATGTGATGATGAAGATCAGTGTTGTTGGGCTGGGGATGTGGCTCAAGCGGTAGCGCACTCGCCTGGCATGCATGCGGCCCGGGTTCGATCCTCAGCACCACATACAAAGATATTGTGTCCGCCGAGAACTAAAAAAAATAAATATTAAAAAAAAAAAATCTCTCAAAAAAAAAAAAAAGATAAGTGTTGTTTTTAATGCCCTTTTTTGCTGATGTTAAATTGGTAACCATAGTATTATAGCATACTACCTACTTGTGTGTGTGTGTGTGTGTGTGTGTATGTGCGCGCACGTTGCTAAGGATTGAACCCAGGGCCTTGTGCATGCTAAGCAAGCACTCTACCACTGAGCTACATCTCCAGCCCTATATATTTTTTTTATTTTTTATTTGTTCTTTTTTTAGTTATACATGACAGTAGGATGTATTTTTATATATTTTTTTTTTAGTTGTAGACGGACACGATACCTTTATTTTATTTATTTATTTTTTAATGTGGTGCTGAGGATCGAACCCAGTGCCTCACATGTGCTAGGCAAGCACTCTACCACTGAGCTACAACCCAGCCCAACAGTAAAATGTATTTTAACATATATCATGGAATGTAACTTCCCATTCTTGTGGTTGTACATGATGGGGAGTTACACTGGTCATGTGTTTACATATGAACATAGGAAAGTTATGTCCAATTCATTCTACTATCTTTCCCATTCCTATCCCCTCTCCCTTTCCCTCCATTGGATGCTGTCCAATCAGGTGAACCTCCACTCCTCCCTCTCTCCCACTCCCCTCAACCCTACTGTGAGTCAGCATCCTCATATCAGAACATTCAGCCTTTGGTTTGGGGGGATTGGCTTATTTCACTTATCATGATAGTCTTCAGTTCCATCCATTTACAGGCAAATGCCATAATTTCATTCTTTATGGATGAATAATTGCTGGGAGCCATTAGCCAAGTAGGTATGACAATTTCCTTGCCAGCGTACCCCATGTTGCTGACATGTTGCAGTGACATTGAATGTAGGTGACCTTGCTCAAGGACCAAGGCAGATTAGGGTGTTCCCGGTTTTAAGATAATCGTGTTTAGGGCGTTCCCAGTTTAGGTTCCAGGTTTAAGGTTTAAGATTATTCCTGCTGGGAATAGGGCGTATCCTGCTGCCTGAGTTCCCCTTGAGTTCTCATGGGATTCAGACAGTATATATTTTGGAGATAGAAGCCCAGTGGAGGTGGATTTGGGCAGAGAACGCGGATTTGGGAGAGAACGTGGATTTCCCCAGAACGTGATTGTAGACGGCTGGTGTGAGTTCGGGAATAAAGAGTTGCTGTTTGAATCTACAAGCTGTGTGGTGGCTCGTGATTGTGTGCCCAGCCAGACTGCGGCAAATAATATTCCATTGTGTATATGTACCACATTTTCTTTATCCATTCATCTGTTGAAGGGCACCTCGGTTGGTTTCATAGCTTAGCTATTGTGAATTAAGCTGCTATCACCATTGATGTGGTTACTTCACTATAATACGACCAGCCCTTTATTATTTATTTATTTACTTATTTATGATACCCAGGATTGAACTCAGGGGCACTTAACCACATCCCCAGCCCCCTTTTGCAGGTTACTTAGAGACAGGGTCTCATTGAATTGCTTAGGGCCTCGCCAAGTTGCTAAGGCTGGCTCTGAACTCAGAATCCTCCTGTCTCAGCCTCCCGAGCCACTAGGACTGTAGGTGTGCACATCGCACCTGGCCAGTCCTTTATTTTTGAGACCTAGTGTTGCTATGTTGCCCAGGCTGGTCTCAAACTTTCAACTCTCCTGACTCAGTCTCCCTAGTCACTGCAATTACAGATGTACACCACCATGCCCATTCTCATGTTAGCCTTTTGACTGGTCTGTGAAATTCAGAAGTCTCAAAGACTGTAGGATTTGCAAAATTCTTTCTTCCTGTAACATTCTATGTAAAACATCTTCCCGGAGCCTCTTCCTGGTGCCAGCCTTCAGCTCTGGGTAATCCTCAGCTTCAGGCCAACACCACTACAAGTCCTCCTTCATCCAGTGGAACTGCAGTCCTCAGGAATAGTATTTGCAATCTTCCTTACCTTAATAGTGACTCCAGGTCCTGCTCCTTATCACATTTATAAGCAACAGGCTATAGTCACTACTAAAGCTTCTCTCCCTCACCTTTAGGGATTACCAGTTCCTCAGGGAGGTCTTTCTTGGCCATTCTTTCTAAAGTTGCTAACTCCCACTCCCAACATACAAACACCTTCCCCGCTCTGCTCTATTTTTCTTTTAGCACTTAACACTATCTTAATAAGTAATCCTGTTTATTGTGTCTCTCTACTATAATAAATAACAGAACTAAACTATTCCAGATGTCATCACAGTAGTAACAAAACCATCTTCTCAGACTCCAGTGTCCTCTTCCTATTCCTTGTTTCTCCAACCCACAGACTCCTCCAAGCAGCAAAAGACTTCACCTTCCTGGGACCACTGCTCACAACCATGTCCCTTAAGTGATCTTACCATATAACCTCAAAGAGCTCCCAACAAAGAACCTTCTGCACATGGCCTCTCATACTTCCTAACCCTAAAGATGCTTGTAGCTGCTCCCGCTAGGCCCAGCAGCAGAGCCGTGGTAAGAGAAAGCACCAAGTCCACCAGATCCAGGTTTCGATTCCCTGCTGAATGTGTGGGCCAGCCCACTCAGGCTCACCAGCTCCTGAAATTTGGAGTGTTCCAATTTTAAGTGATTCCACATCCCTGATCCATTTTTTCCGGGAGAGGTAGTAGACTTTAATGACACAGACCAGAGGATTGCACAAGTTTTTAATAATAACATATTAATACTGTTAAACAAAAATAACACGTGTCCTCACTGGCAGCAACACGTATATATATACATTCTCTTCCTCTCACATCAACTCTGAGGTAGGAGGTACACTGGTTAAAGAATAAAAATACTCAATGGGCTGTGCATGGTCCAGACCACAGGCCCACAAGGCACTTGGGCAAAAAGCAGCCCCTGGAGGAGCCAAGGCTGAAACAGCTGTGCTAAGACCCTGGAGGTGCTGGCAGGGGCTGTGCAGAGTTGGTCCACCAGCCTTTGAGAGCCTACTCAGGATTGGCTGGAGCAGGCAGAGGATGAAACTATAGAGCAGCAGCTGGTTCCACAGTTAGAAAAATGTTCCCAGCACATAAAGTGCTCTCAGTAAACATTTGTTGAATGAACTGAACAAATGGGGTAGTGCAGGGAAAAATTCCAGAGAGCCAGCCCATAGGTGTCCTGGGGCCTTCTAGGCAAGATGAGGAAAACAAGGGTGGCATGGCACTTCCACCAATTACTTGAAAGGTGAAAATACCAGCTATGGGAAGCTCTGGGACACCAGCTATACTGGTTGGGGAAAAGGAGAAAAGTGTCTCCTACATAATAATTGGCACCCTTGGCCCTCCAGGGCCCAGGCCTTCTCATTCTATTACACTGTGAACTCCCTAGGCTGGTCTGACCCTGCCTCAAAGGACCCCATTCACCTCTCCCTTCCCTGACAAAGCAGCCTGATCCTTAGCCTTGGGGAAAAAGTTCCGAGCCAAGTGAATCATGCGCCTGTTCTGAGGCAGCTGACTGTGTGGCAAAGGAGAGAGACTTCGGGCCCCATCCACCCGGTCAGGCTCCCAGCGGCAGCTAGGGTGGAGCCAGCGGTAGTAGACAAGGCGCAGAGCCAGACCTAAAAGTAAGCAGACACCGCCCAAGGGAAGCCACATGTGCAATGGGAGCCAGGTGCTATGAGTCACCCAAGTGACCGCCAGCAAAACACTGTCACTTAGGAGGAATGCCAAGTGAATGGTGGCCCGGCCTCGGGTATGGCCCTCAGATACATTAAACCAGGAGAAATAGAGGATGGTGGCCACTGTCGCCCGGTACAGCCACTCAGAGGTAGGGCCTGGCATAAAGTCTGTGCCCTGAAGCCAGATCCAGAGCAGCAGCACCAGCCACAGGCCCAGAAAGTGCAGGGCCACATAATGAGGGAAGAGGGCTGAGAACAGGGCCACCGCCAAGACTCGGGGCCCCAGTAGTAGCAGGTTCCACAGGAAGTAGATGACAGAGGAGCCCAGGCTCAGGAGGGGCTTGGAGGGAAGGCAGGTGCGCAAGGCCTGGTGGTAGTCCAGCAGTGCCCATGAGATGCCCAAGAAGGATGTGCAGATGCTAAGCCCTATAAAGAATAAGAGGAAACAGGTGAGCTCTGTGAGCAGCCTGCCTAGCATCCCCAGGCACACAGGTACCCTGGGGGTTCTCCTAGCAGCCCTGAGTTGGGTATTAGAATGCCCCCACTTGTAGACGGGAAAACTGCAGTGCCAGAACATTCAGTGAGTTCACACAACCAGAGGGCAGGGATTCAGTTGTGTAGCCTGACCTCACCAGGAGGCTTTACTTTAGGTGCTATCCTGGGACATCTTTTAAGAATGAGAAGGTATGAAACTTGGCACCCTTCGGCCTTGGCTGCACCCTGAGCATCTTCTAAGGCCCCATAACCCTTCCTTTCTCAGAAGAGCTTAAGCTTTTCTTGGGTCTGAAAATCAGTTATCAGAAAGGGGCTGATTTCTCCATGTCAGAGAGGTCTTTGCCTGCAGCTGTCCTCAGACTAGAAGAGATGTCCCTGTGGCATGGCAGAAGTTCTCCTCATTCCCCTCTGCTCCCTTCCGTGGACAGCATGACCCTGGACTTGCTTTCCCAAGATCCAGAAGCTGACGATAAGGTATTTATCCCACATCCTCGTTGCCCAACCTGGACTGGAACCCTAGGACCTCCAAGGAAAGATGGAAGCAGTCCTGAAATGTCTCTAGAATGCTTCCTCCCCTTTCCCATCCACCTAATTCACTCAAATGTTTATTGGGAACCTATCATATACCCATCATATCTGTGGCCATCCCTGTCTCCAACTACCCACCTTCTAGGTTTGAGCAGGGCTAAAGTTTTTCCAGTTTGTCCAGCATGCCACAGCCTGTGACTTTTGACAAGCTTGTCTGGTTTATTAGTAAAGCCAGAAGCACATGCTTCACTTCCCTTGACCCACTCCTCCTCACCCTACAAGCCCCAGCTTGAATATCCACTGGGGTCACCCAGCCCACACACTCCTTGTGTCGGGTATCTCTATAATACCCCACCCACTTCTGCATGGAGTCTGATCACACTAATTATTACCTACTTCCTTATTTCTAAGTTCTTGGAGGGTAGAGAACAGATTCTGGCTGGACACAGTGGTGCACACCTATAATCCCAGCTACTAGAGAGGTTGGGACAGGAGGATTAAAAGTTTGAGGCCAACTTGGGCAACTTAGTAAGACCTTGTCTCAAAATTAACTAAAAAAGGATGGGGATATAGCTCAGTGGTAAAGTGCTTGCCTAGCAGGTGTGAGGTCCTGGGTTTGATCCCCAGTACTGCAAAAGGCAGGCAGGCAGGCAGGCAGATTTTGCTCACCTGGGATAATGTTTGCTAAATAAAAAGTTGAGAAATCAGTCTCCTCCACCCAACATATGGTATAGTCTGTCTCCACATGGCTCTGGTCCTAGATATTTTAGCACCTTAAAACAGGAAAAAAAAAAAAAATGCACCCAATGAATGCTGACTGACCCAGGCTGTCACTTTACCTTTTATACCTCTTTCCTCTGGTATAAAGTGAAGATGGACTCCTGTGTCACACTAAAAGTGATGGCAGAGTGGGGACTGGGTTCTTTGGGAGGCTGTGGCATTTTTAGCAGGGGGCTTCGGGATGTACTGGGGTGGCAAAGGCAAAGCGGAGGCACTGGACTCTGAATGAGCTGTGAGTTGGAGTCTAGCGTGGCCACCCTTGACTTTGGGCAAGTTACTTCCCTTTTCCGAGAAAGCCTCCCAAGACTCCTTACTACACAAACTTTCCCAGTGGTTGTTGAGGCTCTGCCAGCCTCCGCCACCTGCCTCTGTTTTCCAGTCACTCAGCACATTTATTGTAACTACTTGTGTTTATAGTCACTCATCCTGGCTGGGCAGAGGCTCCGCGTGTCTTACTCACTGCTGTGTCCCTAGCACAGTGACAGGTACAGAAGAGATGCTCAATAAAAACTTGACTGTATGAAGGTACTCAATAAATTGTTTATTGAATAACAAGTTGCTTATTATATATCAGGTACCCTACATGCTTTATCTAATATCATCAAAGTAATAAAAATTATAATTAAGATTTATTATGTGCCACTGAGCATTATATGTAGCACCCCATTTAATCCTTTCATCAGTTCTATGAGGTAGGGTTTTTTTTTTTTTTTTTTTTTTGGTACTGCAGATTAAACCCAAGGGTACTTTAACACTGAATTACATCCCTAGCCATTTTTATTTTTCATTTTGAGGCAGGGTCTTGCTTGCAATCCTCCTGCCCCGGCTTCCTAAGCAGCTGGGATTATAGGCATATGCATTGCATCTGGCAAGATCATACATTATGTCCATTTTTCAGATGAGGCCAAACTGATACTCAGAGAAGTTATGCAATCTTCCATACTTATGCAGCTAAAGATTAACTTTAGATTTGAACCCAGATTCATTGCCTAAAGTTTGGTCTCCTATTTTCTCAACAGTCATTCTAAAAAAGCAAATATATTGCTGACATTGAAGGGAAATTCTGCTAATCCATAAAAGGAGGGCGAGTTGCTGGTCTGGTACTCACACTGGTAATACTCAGCGCTGCCACTCTGTAGCACGATGGCCAGCCCCAGTGTGAGTTGTGGCGTCGTTTCCAGGAAGGTCTCAAAGAGCCGCAGCATGCTGATGTCCAAGGACAGGAAGTCGGCATAGGCCAGGTCAAACTCGGAAGGCTCCTCCTGCTGCCACACCAACAGCCCCTGCTGCAGCCCCTGCAGGCATCTAGGCAGTACACACAGATGCCCACAGGGCCAGGTCAGCATCCAGTGAATTCCTCAGCCTCTTACCCATCTGGCAGATGCAGACAGTCTCCGATCCTAACTTGTCCACTCATATGGTAGAGGGACTTGGGCAAGCTACCTAACTTCTCTGAACCTCATCTATAAATTGGGATAAACACAACTTTTAGTCCTGCTAGTTAGGCACTGCCCCAAGAGCATCACAAACCTTGTCCTGTTTACCCCTCACAAGAGCCCCATTTTACATCTGGGGAAATGGCATCAAAAAGCTGGGGCTGGGGATATAGCTCAGTTGGTAGAGTGCTTGCCTCGCATGCACAAGGCCCTGGGTTCAATCCCCAGCACCACAAAAAAAAAAAAAAAAAAAAGCAGCAGCAGCTAGCAGTGAGGGAATCAGAAAGGGACCCAAAACTGTTTGAATTTGAAAGGCATGCTATAAAGTTGTCCAAGGCAGTAGTTCTCACTTTTACTATGCCTAAGAATCTCCTGGGATCCCGTGGGCAAGGAACTATGGAGAGCTTCTGAGCATGGGCAACACGGGATCAGATTGTGCCCTAGAAGACACTGGCTGGGGCGAGGAGGAAGGGTGGGAAGAGTTACAGTGGAGCAGAAATCCCATTTTAAGAGGATGCTGGAGCCAGGCACAGTGGGACACACCTGTAATCCCAGTGACCCAGGAGGTTGAGATAAGAGGATTACAAGTTCAAGGCCAGCCTCAGCAATTTTGCAATGCCCTAAGCCACTTAGCAACACCCTGTCTCAAAATAAAAAATAAAAGGACTGGGGATACAGCTCAATGAAAAAATACCCCGGGTTCAATCCCTAGTAACCCCACCCCCCCAAAAAAAAGAGAGATTTCTGAAACAGCCCAGGGACAAATGGGGGGTGCAGGGCTGGCCCAGATGGGTGGGGATAGAGACTAGGGCAGAATTAAGGTTGTCCACACAGGCCTCAGGGATTAATTGGCCTGAGGGGACAGTAGTTCTGCACCCAGAACTGATCTCACTTGGCTCTAGGGGGAGAGTCCATTCCCTCCATGCAAATTCATTCATCAGATGCCAGCTGTCACTTGCCTGTATAGACCTGATAACACACTAAGCGACAGGCAGGCAGGGCTCTGTTGGGGCTCTCCCTCACAGGAGCTTCTGCCTTTGGTCCTCTAATGCCTCAACAGAAGCCCCCACTTCAGCCTTGTCACGAGCAGGAACAGAGACCCTATTTTCAAGCCAAAAGTCAGCAGAAACAGGAGAAGGCAAGATGCATGAAGCACTCATGAACGCAGGCCCAGTGAGGCCTCCCAGACAGTAATACTGTGCCCCTCCATATCCCTCTGGGTTTTACTGGTGTCTCCTGCAGTCCCTCAGGAAAAATGGCGACATCAAAGCTCCTCTCTCTACTTCTGGAGACTCCATGCAGCTTTGTCAAGGCAAGATCTGAATAGAATTTGTAAAAATGGACTCCAAAGCAGATTTCGCCTCCAGCCATCCTAACCCAGACCACACAATGAAGTCCTGACTTCTTGGCATGGCTCTGACCCTTTGATTTCAGTTTCACTGTCTCTACAGGCCCCTGCTAATTCTAAAAAGGAGCATAGTCTGCACATATTTTCGGAGACCCAGCCTGTGCCCAGCCCTGGCTGGCTCCAGGGGTGTTAGATAAGTCAAACTGCATGATCTCTTTGTTGTTGTTATTGTTTTAATGGTACTGGGGATTGAACCAGAGGCACTTTACCACTGAGCCACATCTCTAGTCCTTTTATTTTTTATTTTTCGTTTTAAGACACGGTCTCACTAAGTTGCTTTGGGGCTCGCTTAGTTGCTGAGGCTGGCCTCAAATGTTTGATATTTCTGCCTCAGCCTCCCAAATCACTGGGATTACAGGAGTTCATTAGGGAGCCCAGCACACCTCTGCCCTCTTGCTCCATCTGGGGATGGGAAGCCAGTGTTGAGGGAGAAGCACACAACTGGGAAAGAAAAGGGGAGAGGGAATGAGCATGCTCTGGGGGTTCAGGGCTGCTGAAACTCACAGGGTGGCCCACATAATCATGAAGCTAGCTGACATTTGTTGGATGCTTACACTGTGCCAGGACAATTTACAGGTGTCATTTCATTTAATCCTCATAAAAGAGAAGTAGGCATTGCAGCAATGAGTAAACAGATCTTGAGAGGTCAGTGACCTGCCCAAGGCCCTGCCCAGGACTAAAAGGCACAGCAGCGCTGAACAGTGCCAGCACAGCCTGAGGTACCTTCCTACTCCTTCCATTGACTCCTCACAACTGACCTGCCTGCCAGACCTCTCTATCCGCAACTGCCTCTTTCCATAGAGGAGAACACTGAGGCTCAGAGAAACGCAGAAAGGAAGTCACAGGTGGCATAGCCAGACACGGACTCCAGAAAATCTGACTGCGAAGCCCTCTTTCCCTCTTCCCTGAACACCGCTTTCCTTCACCAGAACCTGACGGGTAGGGCTAGATGAGCTCTGGGGACTCTAGACCTGGATTCTCTTTCCTTAAGGGTCTGGAGGCTCAGCTGCTGAGATCTGGTTCCTCTTCTGGCGTCCATCCTCTCCTCCCACCCCCTTCAGGGTGTCAGGAGTCTCGCCTCTACTACTAGTAGCCCAGGTGCAGGAGGTACCGATCTCCCTCCCCTTTCCGAGAGCGCGGCGCTCACCTGTACAGGTAGCCCAGCTGCAGGAAGTGCAGCAGCGCCAAGCAGCGGCCGGGAGGCTGCGACTCGTGCAGACCAACGGGGTCTGCGCGCAGCCAGACCCAGCTAAAGAGCTGCAGCGCCACCGATGCGAGGACTAGCAGCGCCAGCACCAGCGCGGCCCACAGGTAGCGGCCGCTGAGCGCATACTGGCCGGCGGCCCACAGGTCCGCGCCCAAGTCGAGCAGGAAGGCAGCGGTGCCCAAAACGCCCAAGATCAGATCCCGAAGGAGAACGGCGCGGGACGACCAGGGCATGACCCGCCTGCCTCTGCCCGTTCCCTCCCCTTGCCCCTGGGACCCACACTCTATCCCAAGGTCGCGGTCGCAGGAAGGAGGCGGGAGCAGCCTTTAGGGCAGCCCCGGGCCGGGGCCTGCTGGGCGGGACTTCCCAATCCCGCCCTGTCCGGGGAGGAGCGAAGCTGGTGTATTGCCCGAGCCCCCAAGCCAGCCCTTCCGCATCCCAAAAGGCGCTCCCGAATCCGGTCCTGTCGCCAGCCTTTGGGGTTTCTCGGACCAGCTCAGTGGAGCTGCGAGGGCCAGGAAGACAGATGCCTTTTGCTTGGCTGGCTTCTAATTGACTGGTTTTACATTCAGGAGCCTGGAGACTCCAGAAGGAGAGAATGGCGGGAAAACTAGAGCCTAGAGTCCAGGCAACAACCGTGATCCTTTACGTTTACATTATTGCAAACCCCAACGAGGGCGGGGCGCCGGGAGGGAAAGACATATTCTGACCCCTAAATGCAGTATTTTTGCAAACTACAGGTGCTCAGTTTAGACTTGAGCAGGGGATACACCAGGAGCAACGGACGGACAGGGCACATCTTCATGGTGGTTCATTTTGTCAGGTGATTGAGTGCACTTGAACTGCAAGTGACCCACTTTAAACATCACTTACATATTAAAAGGAATAATGTACAGAATAAAATGCACCATGAGCATTGTTTTGTGGATAAGACATGAAACTTTAAAGAAATGTGCTTTTGGAGGAGTCTTTGGGGCTTCATTTTCTGATCCGGCAGTCCCAATCTAGTTTACTCCCCTCGGATGCGGGGAAATGGGGGTGAAGTTCAGGGGGTGGTGCTGCTCCAATTTGCCAGGAGGAAGACGAGCTAAGAACCGGGACAAACAAAGTCACGGTGCTAACAGTGCGTGCAGGCCCAGAAATGATGCCAGCAGGAGTGGCAGCAGGGGCTCAGGCGCAGTGGCAAAAGCCTGTAGGCAGGTGGCATAAGCATCGAAGGCAACCTGTTGGATGGCACACACGTGCTCTGTGCGGCAAGGCTCACCACAGGATGCTAAGTCGTAGCTGACTGAGTTGTAGACGTAGTAGCGCTGCAATGTGCCCTGGTTGGTGGCGATGCGGGTCAGCGCAGAGTGCATGGAGCGGGCGCCTGCATCTGGCACCCCATAGGCCTCAGTCAGCCGGTACTCGAGCTCCCAGCGTGGGCTTTCCTGCGAGTTCGCCAGGCTTAGGTTCATGAAGTAGGTCACCATGTCCTGAAGAGCGGGCACAGGGTTAGGTGAGCAGTGAGCAGTTGTTTAGTTGCACCCCTAATTCTACCTTGCATTTACCCCTACATTCTTTATAGTCGTAATAATGACTGCTATTAGTGAATGTGTAGCCACCTACCAGGTATGCTTGGCAGACATCCTCTGATGAGGTAACTGTGCTTATTACCCCCAATTTACTGATGAGACAATGGAAGGCCTAAAAAAGTTAATTCACTTGACCAGGGTCATATAGTGGCATGGGTAGCATTGGGACCCAGGTTGTTTACCCCACTGCCTATTTTCTGTTCCATAAAGGAGTAGCCGGTTGACAGAGGTTATAGAACTGTAGTTGATGGGGATGTAGAATACATTCAAGCAAGACTCCTTAGGGCCCAGAAGCATCTTCAGGTCTAGAATCTTTCCAGTTAAATTTGTGGCCACCAAAGATCTGCCATGTATGGATGAGAGCTGACAATCTGGGCACATTACATTATTACTTACACTTACAAAAGGAGAAGCTAAGTGCCAACATGGACAACAGGCTACACTGCTGGGGGTTGGAACCCAGGGCCTCGCACATGCTAGGAAGTGCTCTACCACTAAGCTATACCCCAGCCCCAAGCCACACTCTAAGATTCCTCAGGCTTCTTTCTCTACATGAGAATCAAGAACCTAAATGATTTCACCTGTCCCTGACTGTAAATGCCCTCCTCCAACTTGCTTTTTCCTGTCCTTTTTAATTTTTTTATTTTTGAGACAAGGTCTCATCAATATGCCCAGGCTGGCCTCAAACTTGTGTTCCTCCTGCCTCAACCTCCCAAGTCACTGGAATTACAGACAGTTGCCTCCATGCCTGGCTTCTCCCAGCCATTTCTACTTGGATGCCAAACTGGATCTTCCCTCTGAAACCTCATCTTCCTGCAGTCACCCTGTCTCAGTAACCAGAAACTTCATCTTCTCAGTGCTCAGGCCAAATGCCTCAGAATCCTCCTTCATTCCTCTCTGTCATGCCCCATATCCCACACCAGTCCACTAGCAAATCCTAGTTACTCTGCTTCCAAAATACCTACAGGATCAGACACTTCTCACCAGTGCCCTGCCACCACCCTGGCCCAAACCACCATCATCTTGCAGTTGGTTTTTGTGACACTTATGTCCTAACTGCCCTTCTGCTTCTCCCCTTGCCCTGGTGACCTGTTCTTGGCACAGCATACATGGTGATTCTGTAAAACTGTAAGTCAGAATATTTTTTGCTCTGTCCCAAACCCTCCCAATTCAGAGTCTTGTGCCCTGCATGACCTGGCCTCACCCCTTCCACTCTTCCCTGTGCCTTCCACTGTGGCCACCCTGTGCTCTTCCCCTAATGCGCCCAGCACGTTCCCGCCCCAGGGCCTCTCACTTGCTGTTCCCTCTGTCTTCCCAAGACGCCCACCTGGCTCAATTTCTCAATTGATTCAGAACCCAAATGTCACCTTGCCTGTGACCCTTTCCTCCTAAGAGCTCACAAAACCCTTTACCATCGCTACCCTTCTCCTCCTCCTGTTTTTTCCTTCCTGGCTCTACTCTCTGTCCCTACTCAATTTTAACCTATTCATTTATTATCTCTCTCCTGTCAGAACATCAGGTCTAAAAGGGCAGCAAGCTTGAACAATGTCCTGAGCCAGAACAAGACATATCACAGAGGCTTCATGTTCAACATTTTGTTGAATAGATGAAGGAATAGTATTCCTTTGGCATTTCAACAATCATAGCCATCTTAGGAGGTGAGGGCTTGCTCGACAAGTTAGGGCCTAGAGCCTACTCAGTATTTGGGAAGAGGTGGGCAATGGACTTGAGATCAGAGTGTGGGAAGCCTCAAATACCAAGCCAAGGAGATCCAACTTTATCTTGAGGGCACTGGAATGACATTTGGACAGTTTCTTGTCTGTTTTTGTTACTGGGATTGCTTGAATGCTGAAGCACTTTACCATTGAGCTACATCCCCAGAACTTTTTATTTCTGAGACAGGGTCTTGTTAAGTTGCTTAGAGCCTCACTAAGTTGCCAAGGCTGTCCTCGAACTTGCTATCTTCCTCTCTCAGCCTCCCAAGTCGCTGGGATTACAGGCTTGCACCAAGGCATCCCACTCATGTGGATGAAAGCAGTGCTTCAGAGAGATGAATCCCTTCTTTGTGTATAGTGGTTGGGTTATTGCATGCAGGTCAGGTGGGAGGCAAGAAGACAGGGAAGGAGGCTATGGCAACCATCCTGGACGAAGGGGGATTTGGGGAAGAACTGACTTGCTTTAGTGGCAGGCAGCTCCAGGGTTCTGAACCTGAGCCTGAGAAGAGTGGAAGTAGCTTGACCTTCCTGAGGCTCAGGGGTCGGGAGCAGGTAATCTGGCTGGCTGAGAGTTAAGGAAGTCCCTCTCACCCTCCTCCTCTGGCCCCAGCAGACCCAGGGCCCCTGACCTGTAGCTTCAGTGTGGCTCGGTCATACTCCAACACCCGGATGCCTGGATTATTGGCCCCGTTGACGACTCCGGGTAATGTGGTTTTCCACGGGGTGACCCCAGGTGTGAGAAACATGACGCTTATGGGGGCACCTTTTAGGAGAGAGAAAGTGGGACTGAGAGAGGTTGGTGAGAGAAGGAGGGGGGCATGCTGACATTTGCCCTCCAGATCGAGTACCTGCATCATCATAGAACATCCGGAAGCTGTCGGTATGGTGGTGCCCAAAGAACTGCCCTGCTATGACTCTATGGTGCTTCCGGACCAGCTTCAGGTACTCCTCATTGAAGTCCTCCCGGAACCACGGCTTGTTCCGTGTCTTCTCAAAGAAGCCCGGGGGCACGTGGCCAATAATGTACACCTGCAAGGAAGGGGTGTCCGGGACACAGATGTTCTCTCCGGATCCTCATTTCTACCTCTTAAAATGCCCATCTAGGGGCTCGGGATGTGGCTCAATTGGTAGAGCGCTCGCCTGGCATGCGTGAGGCACTAGATTTGATCCTCAGCACCACATAAAAATAAAATAAAGATATTGTGTCCATCTAAAACAAAAAAATAAATATTAAAAAAAAACTGCCCATCTCCCAAAGGCAGGTGGGCAGCTCACAAGAATCTCCTCCCCTACATTCCTCCCATTCTCTCCCCTGACATTTGCTCTATACCCCAAAACAGGTGAGTCACATGCCTTCCCACCTCTGTGTCTTTGTCCATGCTAGGCGTGCCAACTGGAGAACCCTTCTTGTTTTCTATAAATCCTACCCCTACTTCCGAACATTGCTCCAAAATCACCTCCTCCATGAAGCCTTCCTGTTCCTTTTAAGACTAGTCTTCTCAGAGAGCTTGAGCATTCTTATGTAGCATATGCTACGTAGCCATGTATGTTCATGTCTTACACTCCCTGAGTCACTTGGTTAATAATCCCTGGCTACTCGGCCACCTTTGCAGGAGACAGAACAGGGGACAGGATTAAGAACATGAGCTTTGGAGTCAAACTGCTGCTTGGACACCAGCTGTGTCACTCTCTGAGTGTCAGCTGTCTCTCATCTGGAATAGCAGCTACCTGGTGGAGTTTTCAGAGTTAAATGAGATCATCCATAAAAAGCACTGAGCTTGGCATCATGAGTGCTCATGAGCACCAGCCGTGATACCCTCCTGGAACATTCTGGGCAGTGCAAGAACTCAGGCCCATAAGACACTGTGCCAGTCCTTGAGGTGCCAGCCCAGCAGACTAGATGGACACATCTCAAGGCCAGGGCATCCCCCTGAGATCTAGTGCACAGTTCAGGTGGCCAGGGTGGTGTAGGAGCAGTGGAAAGAGCTCTGAACTTGGGGTCTAGAGACTGGGGTTCTACCTCCTCTCCATCATTTTACTGGGTGACTTGGGACCATCACTGTTCCCATGGGCCTCAAGGTCTTCATCTACACAGGCTCCAGGACCCTCCTAGCCCACAGGGCTGTCGTGGGAGTAGAAGCTGCCCCTTCTAAGATGTGTGCATCTCAGGGTGGGCAGATGAGTTTGTGCCAAGTGGGAAACTTGT